TCAACCTAATAGTGATGGCCTTCAACCTACTAGCGATGGCCTCCAACCTGCGATGGCCTCCAACTGGTCTCCAACCTAATAGCGATGGCGTCCAACCTAATAGCGATGGCGATGGCCTCCAACCTAGTAGCGATGGCCTCCAACCCAATAGCGATGGCCTCCAACCTAATAGCGAGGGCCTCCAACCTAATAATTAGTAGCGATGGCCTCCAACCTACTAGCGCTGGCCTCCAACCCACTAGCGCTGGCCTCTATCCTACCGGCGATGGCCTCCAAACACTACGGTCAACACTAGATGGTCTGGCTCAGGTTGGACTTCTCAGCAAGCGTCTACACGCTGCACCTCAGCTTTGTGGCTAGGTGTCTCGAGGCACACTGGCATGAAAGCCACATCGTTCTATATCCCAACCTGTCAGTGCAACTTTGCGTTGTCGCCACTAATTCTGCCCGTTCTCCGCAGTTTCTCTGTCTGCTCGTGGTAGTGGCCTCCACCCTTGCCGTTAAGTCTTAGCACATGCTAAGAGACATGTTTGTGTAGATGTGCTGTCTTTGGGGGTGTCAGCGCCCACATTGATGGGGAGACACATGCATGGTGATCATAAATGAAAGTACCAAGTCTTTGTCGAAGCTTATGTGGAGAATGTGACAAATTGTATATTATATATTATCTCTTTAAAACAAAAAAGCACGTGGGTACTAACGTGTCGTAGGTTTTTTGGGTCTCTTGGGTCGAACTCTTCACCACCCACAGGAAGGTCATTTTTCATGGCCCACTGACCGATTCTGACCCACTGGAAAAGCCACCTGCTGACCGTTCGGCTCACTTGCACTTCGGGTCGCCATGGGTCACCCCACGACAAAAGCATCTGGTGAAATACCTAGTAGCACTATGTAGCACTCATGACATTGAAATGAGCAAATTTCAGGCTGCAAATAGGTAATATGTCTCAAAATGTAGCCCTCTTTATACCTGCATGTCGGCAGTTTTCATGCACATTGATGTATAGGTTCACCCACATATGAATGTGGTCCTACTTAACCCTAGCAGCATCAGCATGACAATCACCAGCATGCAAGAAGAACCAACCTGTATCATCGACCTTAAAAGTGGGATGGATTCCAATGAAGATCGACTTCCAAATTGCACTGAGATGTGTAAACGTTGGGCCCTCCGTGTTAACGGGACAGCCCGACACGGTTTTGCCGATCACTCTGGACAAAGGGCATCTGGCCCACATCACGTGGCAAAGGCCCATCTTCCAATGGAATAGGTAGCATCATGCAAACATCAGGTCAGGAATGCCACCCTCTCAATTTCAACTTCGATCTTATTGGATCTTCTTGGCCATGCCGCGAAAGGAAAAAGGCCCAGCCCCATCTTGGAAAATTCGTATTGATGGCACGGCTTCGCAAACAAGAAGTCCGGAGCTACTCGACGGATGCCGAATCACACAAACCGCCACAAACCTGCTGGTGCGCAGTGTTTGGAAAACAGTTCCATGGCCATGGAGGAAACGTTCTGGCATCCATCTGGTCAATGAATTCCATCAGCTACTTCACCCAATTGTTGGGCCAGAATCAAGCACTTGATGTAAGAGAAGACATGCCTGACCAGCGTGTCACCAGGCGGGTGTGCCCTACAGCCCTAAATGCCCTAGATACAAAAAGACTGCGTAAGCCACAAAAGGCAAGGATCTTTCCTGTCGGGCAACAGTGCCTGCGTCCGCACTCACCTACCTGTTTTAATCACTCGCGTCTACACTTTCTGAGTCTGATTCCGAGCGGTTGGATTGGTCCGATGTCTCCGGCTCATCATGCGGACAGAAATGCAAATGAAGCCAGAACTCTTGCCCCAGCAGCGAAAAGCCAAATGCAAACGTAGCGGTGATTGTAGGGAACCATATCAGCATGAATTGCACCTTGCAAATTGGCTTGTGCTTGGTCTGTGTAGGCCGGAGCTAGTTAAGCATGGATCATGCGGAATGCGGCAAATTTTGTCGAACTTTGTAGATCTGCCATGAAGCTGAACTATCTTGATCTACCCAAGACCCCTTGGACAGGGATCAACTGCTTTGGCAAAGATACTTGTTTTACATCTGAGCTAAAGTCCAGTGTGCTGACCCGGACGAGAACATACGAGAACTGCTTGGCCAAGGGGCGAATGCTCCAGGACAGTACTTGTGTTGATCATTCGTTTCGAAGAGCCAAATGAAATGATCTCGGGCAAGCCAATCTCCAATCTCACAGAGCGCTGGGATTCCCAAAGCAAACGTGGCCGCCATTATCCTGGCGCAATGCAGGATTCCTGACCTGATTGTGTGTACATATAGAGAGAGAGAGAGCATCGTGATAGGGTCGTTGCCTGTAGAACCAGATCATCTGTACCTCTTGGCGTGCCTTCTACTTCAAGGACGAATGGATGAAGAGGAGAAAATCCTATATATATATATAGTAGGCGTCTTGGTTTGTGATTCTGTTGGTGAAGGTGTCCCATCTCTAGATTGCCAGGAGGAACTGAGCCCGGTTCCTCTCACCTTCGATTCCTGCGGGTCTTCTAGGAGAAACTGCGTTCAAAAATAGGATGAACACTCTGCATTATATATCCACATTGGCCCAGCATATTGATTATACCCATCAGTCCCATGCCAAGATTCCAAACATTAGCAGCAAATACACCACGTTCCTAAGCTGACTCATAACATGCCAAAACTTTGTCAGTTCTACAAGTCATACAGTTGAACATGATGCATCTGACTCATAACGTGCAGCTTCGGCGCCGGACCACTTCTTTCAGCCACGAATGACATGATCGGGACAAGCCCCGCAACAACGAAGCAAATGATGACGGAAATGTGCCCTTCCAAGGTGGCACGAGGCATGTCTTCGAAGCATCCCCGGTCGTCATGCAAAATGAACACCGCGATGCAATGGGCCCCACACAGGAGCCACAGCAAGGTGGCAACCTCGCTTTTAGGGGTAGGGTTTAACATGATTCCATCAAGTCGGCTCTAAATGTACATCAAGGCAACACACACCCTTATGTGTGCATATATATGTATATATACATACAACTACATACATACACACATGCTACATATATATATATTTATATATATAGTTACATAGAAAGATAAAACCACATGTAACATATGTAGTACCATATGGGCCGAACGGGCCGATCTTTTCTGGGTGAAAAACCATACAAAAGTAGAAAGCCAAGTAAGCTACTCCAGTCTTCACCACGAGGTCAGTGGTACCCAAACCACGTATATTTGCACCGGATTCAAACGCCTTGCGGAGGCTGTGGTCATAAGCACCCGCCTTCATCAAAATATGAATTGCAAGCTCAACATCTCTCTCAAATCCAGAAATGGATTGTCGGATTCGCGCTTCATCAACCGAGTTTGTGCAGGTGGCATCAACCAGCGAGACAAAATTCAAGTTGGTGGCCTGCCGCGCCAGTTCCCGATCCTCCAAGAGTTCTTCATTCAGCTGTGCCACCCGCAAAAGGTTAAAAAGCCACGTTCCAATCATCACAAAGTAGTGGTCAAACTTTGAAGGCGTGTAGTAGGGGCCCGGCATCTTCACCCATGGAAGGATGATCGAGGAGAGCAACCAAAGGACGGTCATGTGGAAAAATCGGAGCAAGTTCAAATTCTGATGTACGAGGCGCTTGCAGCGCCGCTTGCACACTTGGAGAGCCACTGACACAGCAAAGGTAAGAACCGTCAGCAAAAAGCAACACACGAATGTTGCGAGGCAAACTTTCCACAACACTTCTTGATTGATTGGGATCAGCACCAAAATAAGACCTCAAAGCTGGTTGCTCAATGCTGAACAGGCAAACAACCAACAGTTGATCAGGTATTTGTGGCGCGGGGGGGGGGGGACAATTCTTGGCAAACATGGAGCACATCATCTTCCTACATCTACGTTCTTGTAAACTAGCTTCGCCATCGGACGCGACCAAGGCCCATGATAAGGGACCAACTCTCTGAACATCACACAATCATCTGGGGCCACATTCCGTGGGGGCGACGTTGGTCAGTCATTTTTCCACTCTCCCCAGTCATCCGTGTCAAGTTGGTGAGGCACCCAAAGCTGCTCCTAGAATCAAGGGAAGAAGTATGCTCCAAACGACCAGCAGGCACTGCGCAGAACTTTTCCTTGGTGTCAACTTCACTGGCTGCACCGAGAAAAACAGCAACGCACTGGCACAATTTAAATTATCATCAGGTGTTCAACTTCTCACTAAATGGATTTGTGGATGGTCGTCATGATGGCGGTATCGGCGGTATATATGTTATGGCAATACTGGCATTGCATCTCATAACCAGAGCAGAATGCATTGAATCCCGTTTATAGTCTGATGAGATGCCCCGCCTATGACACTTGTCTCATCGTCAATCAGCCATTGCCAAGCTGCGGCCGGGTTGGCATGATGCACGTCTTTTCGTAGCGAGTTCCCAAATACGCTTCGTATACACACCACAATCTCGTGTATATGCTAACCTGCTCAGGGCCAAAATCTTCAATCATCAATTACGGGCAAAATGAGGGACATCTATATAACATTTGGCACCTGGCAATCCAGACAAATTGTAAAAAGGGAAGCCTGAAAAGTCTTAACAACAGTCGTGGCAGCCAAGCGGCAGTGCTGTTTGGGATGATCAATACATGGGAAGCGCTTTGCATTGCCCGAGCAAAGGGGCTTTGCTCGGGGGGTACGTTCAGCCAGGTTCTCATGTCAAGATTCTGTGGGTTGGCCAGCAAGCAGCAATACCTATGTTCTGGCAAAGGTCAACATGTCATGAAAGGTGTCAATCAATCTGTGAAAGCTTTAACTATAGCTTAAGGATCCGTCTCCCCACACCAAAGGCTTCTTGCGTTCCGTCTAAACAAGAATGTGCTCAGAAAATCCAAAATGCAGATTGCGCAAAAGTTGAAGCCGCGGCCACGCTCGTTTGACCTGATCACCTAGCTCGAAAATACCTGCTGGGCGAGGTAATGGCCGGAAAAAAAACAAAAGCAAAACAACGGCATTTTCTCAATGGGAGTTAATTGAAAAGAAAACCAGAGTGAAAGCACTCTAGCCTTCTGCCCAGGCATGAGAGATGAAGACTTGGCACAATAGTCCTTCAGGATGCTTCATCAGTGCGTAGCTCATTCCCCCAGCAGCCAGTGTCAGGGGCTTCACATAGTGGTCATTCACTTGGTACAAGTTTGGCCCTTGGTTGGCTGAACATGACAAGGTCAGAACGACCAGTCTTGAACCTGAGTGCATCTGACTTGTACTTACAAGACTGCTACCTAAGCACCATGACTTCTTGGAGCCTTTGCCCATTGGCCTTCTGCCTTGGCCTGAACATCGTAGCTACAATGATCTCCATGAACCACCCTGCACAAACCAGTGCAAACTAACAAGAGTGATCTTCCCTCACAAAATACTTAAAATGATAGGTATCAACAAATATAGATATAGATATATAACATATCCATATATATATAGTTATATACATACCGCACATATATATATATATAGAGAGAGAGAGCACATCATGGCGTCTCCGCAGCCATGCGTCCATCTACCTCCTCGGCCAAACCAGTCAAAGTTCTCATTCGAGAACGGATGGTTGTTGCCGTTGAGGCAGGGCTCAAGCGAAAGTATGCGCCTGGGGGTGTAACGATCCACACGTCCAAGATGTGGCCTGTATATTAGAAAATAGTTATGTACAACTATGCGTGTGGCAATGAAATTCCATCGCATCGTCTAGTATGGTGGAACCTTCCTTTCGTTTTGGGCTCCACCTGGTAAGGTGCCCCTCTCGCGCTCCCAAATCTCGCGCACATCTGCGATGAAGGCGAAAAACTCGGCTTTCGTGATGCACCACCTCTCCGGCGGCACACGAAGGTGAAACTCCATGGCACATGCGGCGTTTCTGCTTCACCTGCTCTGAAAATCGCTTGTTGGCTGGCACAATCAAAACTTCAACTGGTGCAAATGTTTCGGCCATGGTAGTGTTTCGGCCAGTGTTTTGGCCATGGTAGATGTTTCAATTGACCTTTTTTATTTGATGTCATTTATACTATGAGTGTGCAAACCTTGACGAACCGTCAGTGCATAGGCCACCCTCGTGCATTTCACATTGAGCAGGTATCTACAAGTCTGCAAGCATCATGGATCCAAGCTGAGGTAGCAAGAGAGGTAGTCAGCATAAGGTGGGTTATGTGCGCAACAAATCTAGCACCGGTAGCACAAAGCCCCAGTGGCAACCAGGCAAGCTCATGCCCTGCCTCAAAGCTACCTCATCTAGCAGCCTGGTGCGGATTGACGCTTTGAGACGGATTCGCACATGTAAAAAAACGATTTGGACATCTGCATGGTTCCTTCGAAACAGTCCAACATTGCTACAGTTTGAGACCGGCCACTGGCTGATGCGTTTGAGCAACTGCTAGCCATGACGAGCTCGTTTGAACATTGATTTCCTACAGGTCGCAAGTCAAGCCCCAAGGGGTGGTGAAACGATGCGTGATTCCTACGCTTGTCAAGACCAAGACCTGAGGTCCCACGGGGTGGTGAACGAGCGATGTGGCCGACAACGGCGCGACGTCGGTGTGACTCCCTGAGCCGGAGTCACAATCTGCTGAAAGAAGTGCCACATAGAGGTGTGCAAAAGCTGCAAAAGGATCTTGATATATCTTGATCATTAATCTTATGTATAATTCGTTGCATGCTGGCACGCGTCACCCACCCATATTCTTGAGCACATCTGGATTGAACGGCATGGAGTAGCAGTTAATGGCAAACATCCAGCTGGAAAAGTCCTTGACATGCTGGCACAGCCATCTTCCCACCGTCTCTCAATTCTCACGCCAAGCGCGAACACATGGAAGGAACATGCACTGGTCCTCCGTCCAGCATCCACAGCGTTAAAGGAAAGGATCTTGCGAATGTGCATGTCCAGGGGTCATTTGAGTCATACTAGTACCGAATTGATTCCTGCGCATCGCCATTTAAAGTATATCGCACGCACGGAAGTTTGGACTGTGTGTAACCAAATCCACATCTGTGCACTGACCAAGTGTCAAAAAACATAAACAACAAACGCAACAAATAAATAATTGCAGCCTGGTCGAAAAGGATGTTTTATGATTTTTGTTATGCCCAAAGAGACTCAAACTAACGCATGCTTCAACATGCAAGCCGCGCCAACCTGTCTGAAAAGTGAGAATGGCGTCAATCCAAGAAACATTATGCAACTACAACGCAGCCATGCATGAAGTTCTAGCAGCTTTGGGCCTTTGAGCTCAAAGGCACTGTGCTCCAGCTGGTTTGAGGTCCTATCCGAACGCTGAGCTGATGCCACGATCCCCCGTCCAAACGACCGTTGCAAACAGAGGTCCTGAAGGTGCTCTATTTGGCAATCGGCCAGGTAAACTAACCTGCCGAAGCGCGGCTATTCAATTCCAAGCTCTCAGCACATCTCAATCGCTCCAATTGACTCGACTAAGTCGCTGTCTCCAAGGGCTTATGATGCCGCTTCTGTGGTTCTAAAAGTTTCACAAAGGCACAAACACACAAAACACAATGTAAGTGGCTGTTCGGCCTGGTCATGTGATACCTTCTGCCAGCAGAAGGAAGGTGGTATTCAAGGAACATTTATGACAATGGGATCACGGGGCCCAAGAGAAAAACAGAACACATGACAAAATGCATAGGCTTTACAGAATGGTCAGGCACTCCCTTGTGCAACCTTCGACTCAACAGTGCCTTCGACTCGACAATTGGCGAGGTGGCCGCTGTACTGGTGACCGCGTGGCTTCGGTTTCTCTCCCAACCCTCTGTGCACAATGGCTAATATTGATCACAGCATCCAAATTCATGTCCAGCAGCAAATGCAGGCAGTACGTATATATCTTATGAAATATTGTGTACAATTGTAATCAGCTATATATATATATATACATATAAAACACCTAATATGAATGGTTTGAAATGGTTTGAACCGTCTCGAGTAACATGACTCTACATTTCCTGACCTCCATGACATTCGGCTGAGAAGTCCCCATTCCTCCTGGCGATCATGTCAAGTATGTGGCACACGGCTTAACTCCTTGGAATTCAGGCTGGTGGTTGTCTTCTCTCGAAGTTGCTCGTATGCGATGTCCAGCATCCCCAACAACCAGAACCATTCGACAATGGGTTGCCTAAAACATGTAGATGCCTCGGTCTCCGTAGACTGTGGCCCCGTGTGTCTGCACACCGACAACACACGGCGGCCTCATTGGGCCTATCCCGGCCAGCGCAGTGGCAACCGACCATCCTAGCTACAGCGACAACAGCCGCACGATCGAAGCAGCTATGATGTACACCGGCAAAATCCACATATATAGACCAAAGGATATGGAACATGGAAGGGCTGGAAGGCTATCCCCTTCTCAAACTAAATGGTTTGGACCAGCAACCTTGATCATGCGAGGCCCGGACCCAGAAAGGAGGCCGTTGATGCGGCTCCTCAAGCAGGTCAGCGGAGTCAAGCTAAACAAGCGGTGTTCTGCGCCGAACGCAGATGGCATGGATTGGAACATGGGCATGTCTCGGACCCGGCCAGAACGCTGGCTGGCTGCCAGGCTCGACCTTTACCTATATGGCGGCTGGTCAAAACCCTGGCACCCTGGTTGACCCCGGGTCAAAAAAACAGATTCCTCTATAAGGGATGTCAACCTGGGGGAGGTTGTGACTCATAGGTTATATAACCAAGCGCATTCTGACATTGCTCGGAGCCACTTTTTTCACGATTGAAGAATCTTCTGCGCTAGACCTCTCAAGCAGGAGACCGTGAGGTCTGGTTCTGAATCCTGAGTGCAAACACTTCAAGCCATGTTCCAGCCACAAGCATGCAAATGATTGACAGGCCTGCTAGCCCACGTCTCAAGATTGTCTGAGTGTGTGCTTAAATTTTCAGAACTTGAAGAAACAAACAGGGCCCAAATGGCTAGAGTTCAGGGCCCAAAACATAGACTCAAACCATCTCCCTCCCCGCATCTTCCTGCATCCAAATGGAGATGATATGAGATGATGGGAAGCAAACCCTTTGGTTTCCTTGATGTGCATGTTGCCTTGCCAAACCCCCAGCGCGACCCAGCATGAATTGAATAGAATACCCTGCAACTCTCTGCTGCTCTGGTGCGGCTCCAGCTTGTCGGGCTGCCAGTGCTTCTTCAGATGACAAACTGAATCGATTCTGTGCTCGATTCGGGCGGTCAATGTGCACAGTCCTCCGGGATACTCAAGGTTTCTCTCTGAGAAACATTGAACCATATTGAACCTAACTTGGCTGCACAATGACCCCAACATTTGGTGACCATACTGCCATAGGGCATGGTATTGCGACCTACTGGGCTGGATCAATTGCTACACCAGTCCGAAGGCCCACACGCGCAGCAGCCGCAACATCCGTGGCCAAGTCATCACCCACATGCCACCAACTTAGCTTCAGCCGATTGACATATATCTTGTTCCTAGTAGCTTCTTGTTACTACTAGTAAGGCACTTGTTACTAGAAGCGATGCACTTGTTCCTAGTTGCTTCTTGTTTCGTTTCAAGAGGACTGCGGCGCGATTCATGGTCAAGAGTCAAAAGTATCACATGGGTGGAGCATCCAAAAGACGTCCCAAACCCCCGACAAACAAGAAACAACTGTCAAAAGACATCGTGGTGCCCAGCCGGTACTGACCAGCCGGTTGGGAGGGGTCTTTGGCCCAGTCGCGACTCACCGGTCCATCCAGAAGAGCGCGCACGCTCCAGTGCTTCTTGGAAGATCACGGGGGATGGCTTCCGGTGCGGGAACATCGTCTCCTCTGCAGTTTCCACGTTCCCAACATGAGCCGTGTGTCCGAGTCCTTCCATTTGTGAGTCCCAACGCCAAACACTAAGCAAAAGTGTTGCTGCAGCAAACTTCTTGAAGAAACAGTGGCAAACATTCGCTGAGCACTAGAATACCAACATGCCGAATCAGAAACAACCAAAAAAGACTGCATAGCCTCCTCATGTGAAGCACCTGTGTTTTAAGGGAAACTGCCTCCGTAAGTACATTGCTACTGCTGCCTTGTCCCCAAGAAAATCATTGGCAAGCATCCCCAAATGCTCACATGTGCTCACAAAGATGTGTTGCACATATATACCTTCTCCTCCTGTGCTGAAACGGAGAAATGGAAGAAGTTGGCCAATGCAGGAATATCACGAGGGTTGCCGGCACCATTGGTGATTGCCCCAACAATAGCTCCAGATGAAGCGAGTCCTTCCTGCAACGAGTTAGTTTCCGTTTCACTGATGTGCTCGCAGTTGCTCCTATATCAATATCATTCCACGCGCCCTTTAGACTCATGAACCGAAGCTGCTTCACCAAAACCCGTGTCCAAGCAAGGCATGACGTCCGGGTAAAGGAGTTTGGCACCAGCATGATTGCGCGCAGAAATCCACTGTTGCAGAACTTCTTCCTGGAGCACTCCAGCCAGAGAGAGAGAGAGGGAGACAGAGAGAGATCTCAAAGCACAAGAAGGGTGAATGGGATCGAAATCAATGCTGCCAGCAAGTCTCTGCCAATGCTGTGTCATCAAGGAGCTCAGCATAGGCTGCGCAGCGAAGATTGCAATAGCTCACCTTCTCCCATGGAGGTTCCTGCCGAAGACGGCGCATGGTGCCCTGCACCTAGGCCAAAATGAGACAATTGATGTCCAGGAATCTATGCATGTATACTCATGTATACCTGTTCTTAAGCTCTGCCTCTACAAATCCATTTGCACACCAAGTGCTTGTGCCCTGCCTCTTCTGCTGACAGCGTCGCATGAAGACTGGCGATCTGCTGATTGGCCTCATGATCTTTCAGGCTACAAGTCGGTGCGGCTCACGGAGATGCTATGCATCCCACGTAGAGACAGCTTAAGCTGATAGATGTCAAAAAGGTGCTTGGCCTTCCAAACTTCAGGTACCTTATATAGATCGAGACATAGAGGTCCCCCGACTTTCAGAGCAGCAAGCTACACATGGTTTTCCTATGTTGTCTTCTAGCTGTAATTTGTTCTTCGGTTTTAGGTCCTAGGTTATCCCTGCCTCTATAGGTTTTTCCCCTGCCTCTATATGTAGCTTCCCTGACAATTCAAACGAAAAGTCTATCGTGGACTCTCTCCTCTTTCCAAGGCTGCTCTATATGTAGAGCATCTGATATTTTTTCTTTGGACATCAAAACGTGTATCATGGGATCTCAGCTCTTTCGCTGCGACTTCAAAAGATCTAGCATGGAATCGCTCCTCTTTCCAGCCCGAGATACAAAGATAGGTAGGTAAAGGTAGAGAGATAGATACCACTGTTGCGGAGTTTTGCAGGACACTTGAATGGTTCAGAACGAAGCCATGTTGACAGGTGAGTGGAAGAGATCAAGCGGCAAAAGCCTGGTGGCCCTTGGCATCCATGACATGACATGTGGTGCTGCAGGTCATGACATGTGAGCGACCTTCGAAATTAACCTTCCAATTTTGGTTCACGGTTTCCGGCTTCATTTTCCCAGGACTTGCACCAGTTAAACTACTGTGCTCTGTTTTGTTCGCCAGGTGAGTTAGATTACTGCACCTTTACATAGTGGAGTGCAGCACCACTCCAACAGCTGATGTCGGCCAGGCTCTACAAAGGACACTTTTTCGTGGATTTCGGCATCGGTTTAAGATGCAGGAAGCGCAACAAAGCTGCGATCCGAGGGGTTCCCAGCTTCCACTTTCCAGCTCAAAAAAGGATAATAAGGATACACATGCAAGCATCCCACCAAGAGGCTTCGTTTTCGGGTTTCCGGCTTCGTTGTCCGAGGAATGTGCAACATCTTACTCCAAATGGACGCATTTAAAATAAAGATCAACGCTAGGTTTTTTGTGATGGCTCATATGCATACTAACAGGCGGTATAAGTAGCCAAAGTCTTCAACAAAATGTATACTATAGTAAACATGTTACATATTTGCAATAGCCTTTTGATTCTTCTTGTTACTATTTACTAATTCATATTAAGGCTATTTCTGTTGATTCGCTTCCGGCGACTTTTAATGAAACATTATCCCGGGCACAGGGCCCCCAAAAGTGGAACAGTGCGTGAGAGGTCATCTATTGCAAGAAATGGATGTGGCCATGTAACCTAGATTGCGAATGGCTCACGAGGTATAATGGATATGGCCATCTAAGCCAAAAGCCACAGAAACGTTCAGGGATTTATATGTCACTCAGAAGGGCGTATCTTTCAGACAGTATTACTCTTATTTAAGTAGAAGGCCACCAAAAGTCCAAAGTCGGCAAAGCGACAGAAGCTGCAACAGTCAAAAGCCGCCAAAAGCCGAAGCCACAAAAGCCAGAAACCATCCAAAGCCAAAACCTACAAAAACCAGAAAAACCAAAAGTCATCCAAAGCCAAAAAAAAACAAAACCACCAAAACCAAGCCCCAACAGGGTTGTTGACATGATCTTTTTGAGACTCGCTTCTGGGAGTTGAAACATTCCAAGGTTATTTGATACGCTCTAAGACTTAAATACAATAATTTAATAAGTCAATGTGGCAAAAATTCAAAACAGTTGAAAAAACGAAAACAACTCCTTTAAAACAGTGGTCTACACATAATAAGTTCCAACATGAAATGCACAAAGAAACAACCTGGCGCAGGGTGTCACAGGGTAGCTGCATGTGCCTCTTCAATAACCTCCACTTGGGGCCACAGGGTGTCGTCAAGGTCAAAGGACACAACTGCACTTGCTGCTCGCAAGCTCCTGTCAGACCCAAGGAGGCACAGCAAATCTGGAATCTGGAAGAAACAAACATTAGATTTACTCTTCTTGTTACTGGTCCCGATGCCCTTGTTACTAGTTACTAGTAGCTTCTTGCTCCTAGTAGTAAGGCCAGGAGCTACTAGTAGCGTCCTTGCTCCTAGTGGCGATGCCCTTGCTCCTGACAGGTCTGTAAGCAGAAAGTCTAGAGATCTAGACGCATTGGGGTCCAGAAAGGTGATGGTGGTGATGAAGTGAAGGTGGGTGTGAGTGAGTGTGGGTGAGAGGGAGTGTGAGTGTGAGTGAGAGTGGGAGAGTGAGTGTGAGTGCGAGTGTGAGTGAGAGTGAGTGTGGGTGAGAGTGAGAGTGTGAGTGTGAGTGACAGTGGGAGAGTGAGTGTGAGTGAGTGCGCGTGTGGGTGACAGTGAGTGTGGGTGAGAGTAAGTGTGCCTGAGAGTGAGGGCGTGAGGGAGTGTGAGTGTGAGTGAGAAAGTGGTAGAGCGAAAGTGCGAGGGAGGTGAGGGTGACTGTAAGGCGGGTGAGTGAGTGTGGGTGAGAGTGAGAGTGAGTGTGAGTAAGAGTGAGAGTGGGACAGTGAGTGAGAGTGAGAGTGGGAGAGTGAGTGAATGAGTGTGAGTGTGAGAGTGAGAGAGAGTGAGTGTGAGTGAGAGTGCGAGTGAGTGTGAGTGAGTGTGAGTGCGAGTGCGAGTGAGAGTGAGAGTGAGTGTGGGTGAGAAGTGCTGTGCCTGCCACGAAATCTACACTTCGAGGTTCACCAAGTGCTGCACCTGCCACGAAATCTGCACTTCGAGGTTCACCAAGTGCTGTGCCTGCCACGAAATCTGCACTTCAAGGTTCACAAAGTGCTGTGCCTGCCACGAAATCTGCACTTTGAGGTTCACAAAGTGCTGCACCTGCCACGAAATCTGCACTTCGAGGTTCACCAAGTGCTGTGCCTGCCACGAAATCTGCACTTCAAGGTTCACAAAGTGCTGTGGCTGCCACGAAATCTGCACTTTGAGGTTCACAAAGTGCTGTGGCTGCCACGAAATCCGCACATCGAGGGTCACAGAATGCGGTGCCTGCCACGAAATCTGCACATCGAGGGTCACAGAGTGCTGTGCCTGCCACGAAATCTGCAAACGAGCCACATATCCAAAAGTCACGATTCACTGCACCTGTCACGAAATCTGAGCTCCTCGACGATCACCACCATGTCCAAAGTGCTGCGCCTGCCACGAAACACGAAAACTGCGTTTCGATTCAAAACAGCTCCGATTCCTGGCACCTGTCACGAAAAGTCGACTTTGGAGCACCAAAACGCGAGGTTTCCCTTGCGCCTGCCACGAAAAGTGACCACCATATACCAAAGGGCGCACGGCACCACAACGAGAGCGCAGTCGCTAGAAGCACCCGCCGCCGGCAGGCAGATTTTGCAAGCCGGTGCAGTCGAAGTGCACATGGACGATGTCAAGAACCATGAATGTACTGTAAATAGCAGCGAATTAGCCGGACACGGCCGCGCGCTTCAGCGATCTAAGCATCAGCTGCTTTTTCTACTACCGTAAGAACCCCTCAGTGTGCCCACACTGTTTGGGGAAAAACTGAGTCTACTTGGGTACACTCATTTTCATGCATGATCGCAATCCACCGCCTGCCTGTCTTTTCCTTCTTACTTACACCTTCACTGCACCTCCGTTCAAGTCACACATCACCATGCGGTTCAATGATTGACCGCACGCGCTTTCCATGCACACCTTCCCCCGATACAACCCCCTGTCCTCAGTGACCGTGTGGCAGTGGGGCGTCCGCAAAACAAGGCCTCCTCGAAAATGCAATGGACACACTACCCATCAAATGGCAAACGCCTGTAACTGTAGGGCCTGTAGGGCATTCTTCCCTTGACTGCAGTTGAGACTGTTTTTTTCCATGTCCACTTCCAGGTGCAGCCCGATGCGTTTCTATACCTACCAAAATAGTCTGATACTTTTTGATGTGGCAATGTCAAGCATCAAGTCCAAGCTTGCAATGTCAGTAAGCTGAGAATGGGTCGAGATCGACTCCGGCTACACACGAGATACGAACGATCATCCGTGGGTCTTATGGTCGCCCACGTTGCACACTTACTGTATACGTTTCGATGGTCGCCCTTTCAGTCACATATGTTAGGTTAGCTGACTACTTCTTCAGCACGGTGGTCTTCACACTCACCCAATGAATAATTGGAAGTCAGCGCCCCCAGGTGGTGATTGGATAGTTTATGCGTTGCTGGTCGCTATGTCTTTTGCATAATTATAGAAAGTGATGAGTGACACACACAAGAATAATGATCTCCTCTCTATCACATCTATAACTTTATACTTTTGATATTTAATACTCTAGTCTATATAAATAAGCCCTGCCTTTGAGAATAAGCAGCCGAGCAAGCTCAGCGAAACCAACCAGCAGCGAAAGTCGCAGATGCCCCGCAATTGAACAGGTGCAGTGGCCATCACTGTGGCGAATGGGAAGGAAAATATTGAAATCAAACACGAAGCAAACTTTGCATTCGTACTCGAATTAATTGCCATCTGCCATCGATCCGTTTCTGACCAAGCAAGCCATCTTCCTACTTGCCCCCTCCGGGGAGACATCAACTCCAGGATGATCGAGTCGGATATATACAACAAACAGTTCAGAAGCTCACAGGTTTTCCATGATGATGTATATGTGATCCACCAAAAGACTACTGCACTGTACTGTAAGTGTCACACAAACGCCGATGTCAAATCTCCATAAATCTCCTGGTTGTTTGTTCCTTTCACGCTGGCCCTTCTTGACAAGCATCTACATCTACATTGTCTCGCATTGCTTCTCACTTTGGGCCAGAACCCAGCATAACCCAGCAACGTCTCAACTACATATATACACAAGTTAAAGCTGCAAGCTCCGTGTTCAAAGAATCACAGAACGCAAATTTAGTGATTTTGGCCAAAACCCACATCAATCCTCCAACATCTCTTCCAATCCGTGCATATCTACTCATGGACTTCTAAGACCATCACCCACAAGCCCGGTCAATCTCCGCCACCACGCGTGCAGGTGTCACCGCTTGGTGCCTGAGAACCATTCCATCGTCGGTCTGAGAAAGTGAAAGGAACTCTACCCGTTGGTTTGGTCGTTGTCCCTCTCCTGGAGGTCCCGATACTTGAACATCAGGGAGAGTGATATCTCAGTTTTGGTCGGACTTCAATGCACTCTCTAGATCAGCTGTCGTGATCTCGAACTTGCTTTTTGTTGCCTCAATGGGAGCGATCAAATGATGTGCGCCATCTGGCTGATCGTCACCCAAAAAGCATATTATCAAAACCCCGTTCTTAAAAGCCTCCTTGACAGGATTCAATTCAGAGCTAGAGCTGATGAGGAACAAGCCAGCATCAAATAGAGTCAGGCTCAAGGGGTCCGGGTGCTGAACCAAACGCACCCAATGTGACGTTTCATCACATCTCTCACAGCAAACCATCTGGCTCGAATCCTGCTCATGGCCAGCGCTTGCTGGCTCCGGGGGGGTAACCAAGACTTCCGTGTCCAGGGCCGGGCCCGAGGAAGAAGCAACAAAAATCAAATCAAAACATCACAAGATCAATTTGCTGATGATAGTGGTAGATCTTCGGTGGCCAATCGATGTCAACGATGCCATCCTACAGTTGTTTATTGCGGAATCATGTGGAATCCACATTTGCGCGGTCAATGGCATGTCGCACTTTGACTTGGAAAATTGATGTGCACCAGCCCCACAAGGGGCACAAAGCCAAACTATTGTACCCTGCATTTCACAGAGCTTTAGTATCACCTAGCCAAGTCGAATCACTGACCTGTCTTGTGTCCATCACTGATTTCCGTGCACATCACTTGATAACTCCTTCGCCTGCTTTGACGACCATGTCGTCATTTGGTACGTAGTCTGTGCTGGCTAGCTGTAACTGCAAAAAGGTTGACAAAATCGTTGGGCTCATGAGCTCGACAAAACCCACTGGAGGCATGGCGCCCACGAGCCTGTTGGGCAATGTTCATACCCCAAACATGCCTTGATGAGACTCAACTATATCATCTTAAACATATGTCGACTTGGCGAAAGGGTGCTTCAATTCCCAAAGGAAGGATGTTCCCTCTCATAGCGCTGGCGGATCTTCTCCAGGCGGCCTCAGGGGAAGCTCAATGGATCCCAATGGGGCTGGAATTTAAAGAGCACCAGTTTTTCCTTTTCCTCTGCTCACCTTAACTACCGACTTATTGTTTGGACATAGTTTACAGTTTATAGATTGACGTCAGAGTCTTAATTACTCCCTTCCCGGCCTCGAATAAACCTTCGCCTGAGGGTCGGTGAAAAAACAAATAAAGCATCAACACGCATGATATAGCCGCTAGCCGCTAGCCACAATGGGATGTGCCAAACACACTGAGAGCAACACGGTAAACGTCCGCTGATCCAAGAGATGAAACGCGGCACCAATGGCACCTTCAAAATCCTCCAGGGGAAAAAAACTGCGCGACATACAGGAAGAAGTATCAACAGTCTAAACATTAATTCAATTCTAAGTCCAGCCCGGGGATTGCTTCAGTGCATGCGAGGGTTTCTGCTCGCAATCTTCCCATTCTCCTTGGAATCAAAGGTACCCGGAGGAGCCAACCAAGATATCCAACCAGAACATCGGCATTCTTGGAGACCTCCAGCAGCGCCAACAAGCAGCGCCAGTGTCAGAAGATGTGTCTGTATCTCCGCCAAACTGAAGGCTTAAGACAGACTAGGCCAGGCAACACAAAACCTATTCGGAATTCGCACGAATAAATACGGTATATAAATGATTAACTATTAAACTTTTGGTCGTGGCACCTCTGGGAAGCGCGTGAAAAGCTTGATGTGTGGCAGCAAGTCATCCATGTAGGGCAGCACATATGGAATGTGCCTCAACAAGTGCCGGGCGTCTTCTCTGCTTCGCAAAAGGTCCACACTGCCCAAAGCCAAAGGCTTGGCCGCTGGGCATCTGCATTCCGGTCGAGTGCCTTCGCGTATCAAATTTGGAGTGCCAAGCGTCGGATGAGCAAGTGGCAAGTGTGTTGCCAGCTCATCGAGATTCGGAACCAAAAAGTCCACATAGGGGAGCAATTTTGGCAGGTAGGAGTTCTCCTATTGCTCACACTGACACATGTTGTGCCGTTTGACATCACTGCTGTTTGCAAGATACTCTAAATGTTCATGTCCAGATATGACTAGAATGTATTTGCATCAAGTGCAATCAGGACCTGAGCGGTGTCAAAAAACGGTCGCCATAGCGGACTGAGCATGCAAGGAATGTGAATAGCACATCCAACCAACTGCTAATTGACGGCGAATTAAACATACAGTTACAGTATGTTACAGTGCATACTAGGCTCATGTAGGCTCCCCACCTGCCTGCTTGAATAGGCAATGTCTATGAGACGGGTCCCACGAGTCTTTTCGATTCTGTTCGACTCTCTCGGAGGGGGGCTCGAAGAGTCCTCCACCTTTGCCGCACCTAGCTGGATTCTCACCGTGGACATGATGGATGCTTGCGGATGCCAGCAACGAAAGAACATCATTGGATGGTGTTTTGCCAAACAAAAGTCCGCAGCTGCAGGTGCAAACTGGCCACTCAAAGTCGCGAGGTCCTGCTCTCTCTCTCTCTCTCTCTCTTTCTGCATTTCACCAAGCATCCCTCCCATTCATCTATCAGGTTGTCCACCAGGCATTCCTGGCGAGTATGGTGCAAGACTCTCGGTATTCTCTCAGTACTTTGATGATTGCCATACAGTACAGTGCATGAGCTTTGGAACCCGGAGTAGGCCCCTCTCGAGTAGGCCCCCCGCCTCGACATTCTCAAGCTTGGGCTCGTCAAAGCATCGCTCCAGGTCAGGGCTTTGATTCTTCCGACCTAGACAGTCTCATCGGATTTGTCTCCATCTTTGTGAGGGATTTTGTTTCGAACCAATCACCTAAGCGGAGTCCCTCCCTCCCTGACATCTGTTGTGTCCTGTTCATGTTCTTTTGTCGCTTGAATTAGATAGCTCCCAAGATCTCCCAAGCATGAGGCACCGACCCAGCTCAGCATAGGGCATGAGCAAATCGAAGTGATCAAGCAACGCGCCACAGTGTTTCGCCAGCACATCCTTGGATAAGCATCCGACGTCAAACCAGTCAAGCTGACGGTTGGTGGCTTGTCCTCTTTGGCCATCTTGGATGGCCAATGCCCAACTTGCTAACGCATCGAAGTCTTTAAGGAGGGCTTTCGCTCCATACGAAATCGGACCAACAAATTCGAGCTTTGATGTGATATTTGAACCGTAAACTGTAAACTGAAGAAGCAAATACAGTATACAAGTGGAACTTCACAAGGCCGACCGCAGGTCGCAGAACGCCGCCCAGGCACTAGATGAAGAAGGATATACGGCAAATGGGGCTCAATGCGATCCATCCGTTCCATGATCCGGTCCAGGTGTGGCTCCACGATGTCCAAATACTGATCCAAAATGCGCACGATGCCTCATCCGACGACCGCGTCGTCGGTCTTGCACCGGACCGCACCCAGAGCGAAGAAGGTGCGGAAGATAAGAAGGGTCACATTAGGCTTGCACGAACTTCGTTCGGTTTCTATATATAGTTGTTTTTTTCTCACCTCTGGCCAAAAGTGCCTGGGGATTGCACCTCTTAACCGCGGGAAAAGTGTCATATGATGTCATATGTCTGGTGTGTCCACCAATAGTTCCCACAAATGACGTGTCACTTACAGTACTTCTGGACGCCCAAATCAGCCTAAAATTGTTTGGACCACACAAGTGACTACGACGACGATGTCAAGTGACTTGGCACGTGTGGCCCCAGGATTGACAAGCGAGTATAAATCGATGGCAAGTGAGTGACAATAGACTGGGAATGCCTCAGTGGTTGAGTGGGCTCTTGCTGCTTTCAGCAACTGCATCATTGCACGAGTCATGTGATTGTTTAATCTTGAATTTGCTTTGAATAAAGCTACTCCTCAAGATCTGCTCTCAAGCAACAAGTGCAGGAAACAGCCTAGAAATCTGGGCCAAGGTTCGGCAGAATCTTTTTTGTCAAAGCTGGGCGCACTGCCTGAAGAGTCCAACTCAGAAGTGACTGACTCAAAAAGCTCTGACTCATAGATACTTGATTGGTGTGACTGTGAGTCAAAAGCTCAGCAGCTGGAATTCGCAGGTTCCACGCAATTCGCAGTTTATCGTCCACATCTGACGGAAGCCATCGGTGTGTAAACTAATCCACTGAACATGATCTGCTCGTTCTCGGCTGTAAGGTCTCTCACTACGTCGCAGTGACCATCCCTGTCCAAGTTGCAAGTCGTCCACCAATATGGAAGCCAGCTCGAGTCTGGTCTGCCAAGTATGTCCAAGGGTTGTCCGAGTCCTGGAGCAGTTGAAACGAACTTGTGAGTGAGAACAGCTTTGTCCAGCTTGCTGCGGGTGCTGTGCAAACAACGTAGAAGTGGATGCACTGCGTAAAATGGCATTGCTGCTGCTGCTGCTAGTGCGAGCGGGGGTCCCAAAGTACTGATTAATCACGAAAAAGGAGGTTGCAAATGAAGGATCAATGATAAATCACTGACTTCGGAAGGGAGGGGGGCTCCCCATAGAATCGATATCTCACTGTTGTGAAATAGAACAGGCTGTTCAAGCTACCTCTCCGCTTCGCAAACTCAAGGTAGCCCGGTCTGCAGAATTGTTTATCCAATGAGTCTAATGCTTGCTCTTGCTGTGACCACTTCATTCTGATCTCACTCTTGATGGAATCCCTTGACAATATATACAGTATCCAGAACGGTACCGAAGGCTTTTTCATTGAAGTGCAACCCCCAAAATGTCAAAATCACACACATCAACAGTAAGACTTGCATCAAGCCGCGGCGACTCTCTGCAAAAGCACACGGATGGATTCGTTGGGGGCACCATCCTGGCATGAAAGGCGGGAAGTTCTTGGTCCCCGTGCGAATTCTACACGGCTTTCGTTGCTTTGCACATCATAAATCCAAACAAGTCCTCCAGCAGCTCCAGCAGGCAAATCACCAGC